CACATCATAAGGGTCATAAAACACCATTTAAAAGAGACCACCACAGAGAAGCATGAAATGAAAGGGAAGACCCATCCATCCAATCACATCTCCTGGACAGGGTCACATGGGAGAGGCGGGGCTCATCTCAAGCAGCATAGAGCATAAGGCCGAGGAGCTCTGGATGGGATTCCAGTTCTTCACAGGGCACATACAAACTAATGTCAACTCAGGGATGCCAGTTCACCTGACTGCATGTAGACTGCGGCAGAAAACTAGAGTTCCAGAGGAAATTCAAGAAAAAGCACATACATCACGGCAGGATTCAAACACCAAACCCTGCAGCGTGAGCCCACAGTCACCGATCACATATAAATGATATATTCCTCCTGCAAAACATTCATACATAAATTATCATATTGAACAAAGTAGCAATATTTTAATTTAAAATTATATTATTTGCTGAACTGTATGTAACGCAATACACAGTAGAAATTAGATTTTTTTAAATTAAGTTTCCGAGCTAAGTTTTAATCTTCGTTGTGAGCTTGGAATGTAGAATGATAATTCAGTTAATTTGGTAACTAGAGCGAAATGACACTGAGCGATCGCTCCATTGTCAGAGGGCACTGAGCCATGCCAAAGCTGGGTGACGGGCTGTTCTGTATCATACAGTATGGGAGCGTCTGTCTTTAAGTTACTCTGTCAAGCACTTCAAAAATCCACCGAGACATCAGGTACCGGCCGGAGGAATTTCCGGCAGATAACGTGAGAAAATGCCAGATGGAGAAGTCCGTGGACAGGTAAGAAAGGCCGTCGCTAACAGGGTTTGGACCTGAACAAAGATGCCAGCGAGGATGACAGCTTGTCAGAGGGGACTGTGGAGGATGTCACCTCCCAGTCCATCACAACCAGGAAAAAAACTACAGTGGAGCAGATGTTTATAAACATTTCATAACTATTTCAACGGGGAAAAGAGTCACTGGATACAATATCTTTACACAATCTCTCTCTCTCAAAGGCCACATCCAGAGTCATGCGGTTAAGACTCCTTATACCCCAGGTTCAGGTGCTTCTTAAGATGACTAGTTTCAAAAGGTAGAACACAAACACCATAACATATCCCAGAATGCACTGCACTCCAGACACTAGCCATAGTGCTCATACATAATCTGTGTGTCCGACAGTGGATGAGCACTGATGGCATTCATTGCTAGAACTGGTGTTAAATTAGTTAACTAGCCGACATGCAATCGCAATAAACAAACACTAGGCTGTTAATTGGCATTAGGCGTCTGATTGCACTGGAAGCTAATCAAGGGATTTAGTGGCTCCTTTAGTGTCATTAAACGCCACAATGCAAAGCCTGCAGATGAATCCTGACAATCAGCAATGTAGCCCTGAGTATGTGGAAATAGTAGAAATGAGTCGCTGGTTTGGCTGAAAAACAAAATAATCTGGATGTGTTCTGGGTACGTTACTCTGGTCTGTGTTTAATAATTTCCATTTGCAGTTTTAAATCCCATTTTCCAGTCTTGCCTTTGGGGTGACTGTGATCCTCTCAATTATAGAGCAAAGCATAGAAAAGGTCCAGAGCAAAGTTTTACCAAACTCATTGTTTCTTATAAATGCTGCAATCTGCAAAGGAACTCTTATCTAACAGCATTTCTTCGCAAAGTAAAAAGTATATGTGTAATCAAACAACGCAGTTATGGTCCATTTGTGAACACTCCAAGACAGGGACCACACCCAAGCTCTCGGGCACGGAGCAAACTTTCTGGTGTCTCTCAGCAGACCGCCGTATTTAACGACTACGTGGAAGCATCTGGACCATGGCTGGCCGCCCACGCACGTGACTCATCAGCAGTTCCCAACATCCGAAATACAACCCAAATTCAACAGTGTCACAGCCTCTCACCCAGAAGTAACGTGAAACACTGGATCATGTGCACACGCCCACATACACAGAAAGACCGACACACATTCATACTGTCCATTCCCGGCCATTTAAAACATTAAACCGTGTCTTTAACATGCACACACTAAAAGGCAGAAATTTAAGATGCGTGCCTTAAATGTTTTGTGCGTGAAAAACCAGTTTCCTTTTTTCCCCTACAAATGTTCAGTTACATGCGGAACTCGCCGGGCAGGTCGATTATCAGCCGCACCCTCAGTCAGAAGATAACTTCGTAAGATTTAGAAACTTTTTACAAAGTTATTTAAACTTACCATTGCAATTACTTTGGGGTCCCCAGCGGAAAAAAATGTAACCGACTGAAAAATGAGGAAAACAACAGTATTAGATATAAATCACGTAAGTAAATAAACTTTAAGTAAATAACAGTACAATAAAGCATTTAAGGAACACTTTGTTTAACTTCCCCTACGCGGATGAATAGGCCATCCCGGGTATTAATCACAGGTAAGTTTTATGCTGACAATACTTAAAGTGTCCGTTTTAAATAGCGTGGATCTCGGTTAAAGCGACGGCAAAGACCTTGGCAAAGAGGCAGCACCGCAGTCCCACCGAAGCCGCTACGCCCGGAATGCAGCGCCGCCTCGCCGCATCAGGCGGCTTTACCCCGGCGCTACGCCACGCTTTGCCACGCCTCGCTGTCACCAAGGACCGTGTGCGCACCGCGAAGCCTGGGAAATAGAGTTCTTCAGCTGGCTTCCCTTTTCCATCCATCCATCCATCCAGGGACCCCTGACAAATTACCTTGTCCCCAGTCAGGTGTCCCCAGGGTATCTATGCCCTTCCGGCGCCCCAGTATCTTCCGCCCATTTCATATTTTACGTCTCATTAATGCAAAACCAGATTTTAAAAATGCAGCAAGAATAATTATTGGTAAATATGGGGATACGTCGTGTTGTCTTTATATAACTATCATGGTAGGATTGTAACTATTTGTGACTTTTCGGATATAGAGCATAGACAGGTGGATGGGTAGCGTGTATAACGCGAGCATTATCAAGATATGTTTGCAGACATTAAATATGAATCGTTAAAATGGCTAGAAAATGTCGATTTCGCAAAAACATTTTGAAACATTTTTCCGTTGCAGTAATTACGCTTAAGCCCGGGAGTGAATTTAGGCATGTTATTAATTCCCAAAATGAAATGTGAGGATAATTTTTTCCATTTTTTTTTCATCTTTAGAATCCAAAATGTTGAATGAGCTGGTTTTACTCGCTTTTCCTGGGGACAGAGTATCAGGAAGTAACCTGCAGTAGCGAGGTACAACGTGAAATCTGATATATCACATTTGGCACACAGCAGAACTGACCCGCCATTGTGTCCGGCTCAGCAATTCCAGCTGCTTAATTGAATCCACTGAATTGAATAATTACAATTAAAATGGCCATGTAGCCAATTACAAAGGCAAAGCTTCACATTTTATACATATTCCACACTCAGCAGTTCTCAACAATACCTGCAGTCAAACTTACAGTCCTTTTCATACTATCAGGGCTACAGTGTTACTATTTCAGATACATTTACTTACAATCTGGTTAAAATATCTAAATAAAAACATCTGACTTTTTATATTTTCACCAGTATTCTGCTAAGGAGGCTACACTTCTTTTTGGTAAATCTCTTACATTTATATACTGATAGAAGCGGGTTTGGTTTCCAGATCCCCGAAGTGAAATCTTACTGCACCGAGGGGACAGACAGCAGGAGAGGTCTGTCATTTCTGAGCCCTGTGTATGTGCGCTTTGTTTTACTAAATGAAAATACTGCAAAACGGTGCTAACAGCCAAGGGCGTAACTTTGGGATGAGCATTGGAGGGGTTGGGGTCTCCACCCATTTCATGGGGTTATATTGGCTGATTTTGATTATTGGGGGGGGGGGTACGCCCATGCTGACATCATCTGTTTACACCAGGGGTGTCAAACTCCAGTCCTGGGGGGCCGGAGCCCTGCACATTGTTGGGATTCCCCTCATTTAACACACTTGATTCAACTCCTTGTGCTAATTACCACAATGCTATTGAACCGAATCATTTGTGGTGGAAAAGGGAAAGAACTAAGCTACACAGGGCTCTGGCCCCCCAGGACTGGAGTCTGACACCCCTGCTTTATAGCATATTAGTCGATTTTAAAATCACAGCCTCAAAATAAATCACACATGGAAGATATGCAATATCTGACATTCAGACATTTCTGAACCCTGTCTTACAAATGAGCAGATGGTGTCATGAATATTTTTATTGTGCTGTCAAATTGCTTTTTGGGAATAATGTGCTTTGGAAGCTAAATGAATCCACAAACATGCCCTTATTTAGTCGTTCTGCCTCGTGTAGCATGGCAATCTTGTTTAGGAGACTTCAGCATGTGACACCCTTGTGGGTTGGATAAATTCCCTTTTGTATTTTACGGAATTTTCATTGCATCTCCCTGCACAGAACGCCGTCTTCTTGGGTCTGAGAATAGCGGCAGAGTTCAGGTAAAGTTTGTATCTCGCATTTTCCTTTATATTGAGAAAACATGCAAAACACTATGCATGAAAAGCACAGGACATAAGCTTTATAGTGACTGATGTACTGGGATCTTGTCCTCTTTCTGATTAATTATATTTCACCAAGGCTGAGTCCTCATGACTCATCCTAGCTTATTATTTCAACATAATAAATAGCTAAATGAACACATTTCTACAAGGAATATAAAAACACTGTCAAACTAGATCAATGAGTTCGCTTCTGGTGAGGAACAGGGTTCATAAATTCATCTGGAGTCTGCCTGCAGTGTTTAGTATTGATGACCGACGAGTTGAATCTAATGTGTATTTAGATATCACACAATCTCTGATGTTTTCTGTTCGTTGGTGCACTTTGACACGCAGGATGTGTCAGCATCTTCAGGAGGGTGACGTGGCCGTCAGCAACGTCCCATGATTCTGCTGAGACCAGGAATCATACCTGAATACGGGAAGACTGGGGGACACCAAACAGTTATGGAACAGTCTTCTGTTGGACTGGATGGGATTATGAAGAGAAATTGCAGTGCTGATTTAGATGTCACACTGATTTGAAGAGAAAGTACAGGGCTGATTTAGATGTGAAACTGATTTGAAGAGGAAGTGCTGAAGTAGTTGTTGAATTGATTTGAAGAGAAAGTGCAGTACTGATTTAGACAATGAATTTATCTACAGAGAGAGTGCAGTGCTGATTTAGACAATGAATTTATCTACAGAGAGAGTGCAGTGCTGATTTAGACAATGAATTTATCTACAGAGAGAGTGCAGTGCTGATTTAGACAATGAATTTTAATTTGGATGGTATTCTTCATAACAAACACCAGACTTAAAATGCTCTGCAGTATCTTTCAGCTAATGCCTTTCCAGCCTGAGACATTATATCACACTCAGCAGACATATCCAGTGTTCTCCGGCCAGCACTGAGGTAAGCAAACACCAGGTGCTCTTCACTGCAGTCACTGACTTCTCTCTTGCTGTTTATTTAGCTTTTGAAACATCTGGGGGGCAGGGCAACATTTTTAGTGGAGCCACAGAAAAAAACAAACCCACCCCCTGGTTCAAACTACAACACATAGCTCTGTGTGCATGGTGTGGTTTCACCGCCCCTAAGGATCCAGACAGAGCAGAGAGGAGGCCTGACCTAAGGATCCAGGCAGAGCAGAGAGGAGGCCTGACCTAAGGATCCAGGCACAGCAGAGAGGAGGCCTGACCTAAGGATCCAGGCACAGCAGAGAGGAGGCCTGACCTAAGGATTCAGGCACAGCAGAGAGGAGGCCTGAGGTGAGCTTCATAGGCCTTTCCTGTCCTCGTTCTTTTCCATACAAGAAGGTCTTTGTTATTTTGAAGGAAGCATCAATGTACTTCCTTCAGAAGCTGGTTGACCTATGATGGGCGAGGCTCAAACAGGTGCTTTGCATGTAAAATCAAAGCCCATATTTTCCCCTTGAATTAATAAATCAAGCTATGAAGTCTTGACAAGCTCATAAGTGATTTGTATCATGTAATGCAACTAGAAGCCACTTTAAACATTTTAATGTGGATAAATGATGCAGTGACAAGTTCCGTCTCTTCACTAAGACACTATGTGCTGTTTTATTTTCTATGCATTTTATTTTTTAACATTTTGAACTTTTGTGATTTATAAATGTAAAGTCTTGCACTTGAGCACAACAGCAAATAAGCAAAACATCCTCTGTCCAACATCAGGGCTAAAACGTTCAGTTTAGAAAGGATTTCACGACTTAAAAACCCTTCAAAAGACAGTCAGTAAGCAATCTGTACAGATACATTTCAGTACTAAAGCTCAGTAAGCGACTAATGAAAAACAATGAAAACATTAGGAAAGTGTCATTACACCATTTTGTTCAGATATACGGTACATTTGTGACCAGGTTTTATGGTTTGTGCTGCTGACTACCGATGAAATCCAAGGAATATTACACATAAATATTAATGGTTCATTAATTATGGCTGTTGCAGCGCGATTTTTTGCTGTGCTGTAAGCTGATTGAAAGCCTCTGGCAATCCCACACGGCTGGACGTTTTAATCAAGTAATTACCTGGATGGGTACAACAGAGGCGGATTTCATAGGTTAGATTATAAACCAAGATGTTTTTTTTCTTCTTGACAATGCAAACCACTGCATTTTTAAATAAACATAAACAACAAAATGCATCATACCTTGTTCACAGATGGAGAACTTTTTAAATTGCAGTGAGATACTTAAGATACAATAATCAGGCAGAACATCTGTGCGTGAGACAGAGAAGGAAAATCATTACCAGGACATTCCGACAGTCATGGTGTCGCTTCAAAAAGCCCCCTGACCTTTCTTGCGATGTGCTGGCGCCCCCTGCTGGCCAGTCCTCACAGCACACACACCGCCTGCTGTCCCGGGGGCCTCCGGACCGTGGGGCCAGGCTTGAGGGCTGCGTTCCCCACCGAGTCTCTCAGCTGCTTGATGAGGAGCCACAGCAGCAGAGCCATGAGGAGCAGCATCGCCGAGAACATCGCCACGTAGACGCCCAGGTTCCAGGCCCAGTCCACCGCCACGGGCCACGAGGTGGATGGTACCAGGGACATCCTGGGAGCGGGCATGTTGCTGTCTGGTGGGGCACTGGGGCAGTTCAGCAGTCCTTAGTGCCCTGGTACCACATCACTCCTTCCTGTAATCGTACACCCAGGATGCAGAGCTTGGTGCCAGTGGATTCATCTTTTATGTGAAAATGATTAAATTTCCTTTTATGGTAGCAAATTTACTAGCCAGCCACTGTCCTTTATGTGGGGGATGAGGCTGCTTTTCTGGCTTGGAGTCCTTGAGGGGCCAGTGTTTTCCCCGCCTGTGAGCCTGTAGATGCTCAGACCGCTTTCAAATTCATCACAGCGCGTACGCACACGCCCCCTCCCGCTCCCATTGGCTGCTGGGCTCAGATTCAGAGAGCCGTATCAAAAAAAAAGCACAGCGGCCAATCAAAGGACGCAGAAACGAAACGGCAGGTTTCTGGAATCTCAAATGCTTAACGCAGACAGGCAAATATACACTCCATCAGGGAATTCGTTTAGCACTCAAACAAAAGTCTCGTCAGAGTTCCCCTCCGGCAAATCATACAAATATCGGGAGTAACTGCCTTTGCTGGGCCCACGGCTTAATTGAATCATCCGTTTCTGCCCAGGAGCAAATCTGAATATGAAAGTTGAATGAAGCTGATACTTGTGATTAATGGATGAAATCCATCCTCCGAATGTTTACTTAGATATTCTGTACAGCTGTATTAAACAGTAGACTAAAGCTGTTCAGAGACACGCGAGTAAACAGAGAGGGACACTAAAACATCCCTGTAATAAACCGCTTTATTTTCACATTTTAAACGACAAGCCATTACATAACAGGAATGGAAAAAACACCATAAAGTTTTTGCAGACGGACATTAGCTCAAGTAACGTAGTGACCTGTGAATTGTCAGGCAGCATCTCCGCAATGGCCCTTAGATGCCGATTGTTCCCAGAAATGAACTGGAAAATTGTTAAGATTTATGTCAAGGAAATACGGCGGTTGTGAATGAGGAACTTTACCTAGAAGTCACAAGATTAAAATAAATAAATGCAGTGCAATTATCACATGCTGAAGAATAGCTGCTGGCCAACTTCAGCGTGACCGCTAGCATCCAAAGCTTATGGCATAAACAGCAACGTTAAAGATTCAAGTTCACAGCCTTGAGTCTGAGGGCTACCACGTGTCTATAGGAGACCAGGGGAGATCCCTTCCCATGGAACGGAACCCCAAAAATGGCAGGAAGACAGACCTTCCCAAAGTGAGCATGGCATTACTAAAATTACTCCTTGAAACTGACTATTTACAAAGTAGCAATTGTTACAATTACAGCAACATTAGAGATTCAAGTTCACTGACTGCTGTTCTCACTGAAGAAAGTTCACACATACAAGAGAGGGGAGCAGGCTGACACAGCACCTTTATTGATGAAATGGTCAAAGCAGATTTCACAGCAGTGAGACGACACTTCAGCAAACAAGCAGACTCCCGATTTTTAAAAACGTGATTAACTAAAATTCAAAATTTCAGGCTGTATCAAATGTAACGAAGCGCTACAAGATTGCACATTAAAAACTTTGATTAAAAAGTAACATTACAAGGGTCAAAGGAGCCCCCAGTGGATTATAAAACTGTACAAAACCTACAAATGGGGCAAAATAAAATAAAAGTCAATTCAGGATCAGCTTCTCCGGCGGCTCAATGAGGGAGACTTTGTGGTACCTGAAAGGCAAGAATTCACAGTCTGAAATGCATCTGAGGATCCGCAGCTGATCCGTACAGCTCTGTACAAACCACTAGACAGATCTGCGCTCAACACAAAAATCAGACCAAAACCAAATAAACTTGCTACGGCAACCTCCTTTGTGATGTCACAAGGGGTGATTGGGTTTTAAAGTGTGTAAGCCTCAATGTGGTCTCCCTGCCTCTAAACACGGTCTCCTCAGCTCCTGAAAGAGCCATTAAAGCCTAGAGCTTACTTTGAAGTCTTGTACTTCTCCCTGACGGACTGCTGTGCGTGCCGGGGGGAGTTGAGGTAGGTCTGGTGTAGATCCATAATGCAAGGGGTGAGAACCTCCAGTGTGTAGCCAGTCACCTGCTCCAGAGGTTCCGTCTGAAACAGGGTGACGAAGCAGTCAAAGCAAAACATTCCACAGTCAGACTCCACAGCTGTGGATGGGTGCCTTTCAGAGGACCGCATGCTACAGATGGGCAAGAACACGAAGGACATCCATCCATCTTCTGAAACTGCAAGCCCTATTCAGGAGTCTGGAGCCTACGGGCGCAAGGCAGGGAACAACCCAAGAAGGGGCACCAACCCATCACAGGGCACACAGATCAGGACATAATGACCACAAATCTTAGTGAGGACATTTGGATACAGTGGAGAAGGTCATGGGTGAAGCTCTGCGTGTTCAGCAGAGGTCGTGTTCCACATCACTTCTCGCAGGTTCCCCATGAATGCAGAGCTACTAGACCCCATGCGTTCTACACGTTAGCCTGTACCACCTCAACATTCTGATGGTACAACCCGAGGGGTGTTGATTTCAAGCATCACTTCTTACAATGGATTCACACCGCCTTCATAACCCCATCCACCAGAAGAGCAGGGAGAGAAGTCGCCCAAGTTGCATGATTGCAATTCATACAAAACACATCTTCCCAGTCTGGACTGCTAAATTCACTGTCAGTAATATGAAGTAAAGAAAGATGTACAGGTCCATCTTAAAACCCAACTGGGCTATGCAGAGGAACTTACCCACGATCCTCCAGAAACCGTGTAGTGCGCCAAAGTGAACGCTGCCGCCGCCATTTGTGACGGAAGGTATTTCAGGAAAGGGTCCGAGTCGATTAAGCTCAGCTCACCCAGGAACTGCAAGAGAAAAAAACATGGAATCAGACTCCTTTCCACCTACAAGGCTCCCATCACGGATGTGAACTCACTCACCATTGACAAGCTCTCAGTGCTTTTGCAGACTGGCTGACACAGGAAGTACTGGGTGAGAAACTGGTTGATCGTGGGGGCAGCAAGCTCAAAAGACAGGACTTTCAGGACGAGGTGCTCCATCCTCAAGACCTGGTTCTTTGTGTACGTGTCATCGGTGATATAGACGAACTCTGACACCATTGGGGGGTAGATCTCTTCAAACTTCCTTCAAGGGGGATGGAGACAAACCATATTCAAGAATATTCAAGAAAAGCACGGCTGAAGTTGAGGAACACCATGGGGCCACCACACTCACGAAGCCAGGAGCATGGCAGCCGTCCCGACCAGCTGCAGCTTCCCTCTCAGCACAGACATGGAGGACAAGAAACGGTCGATGTAGTTGACAGCCAGGTAGAGGGTCTCGTTCTGAAGCTTATACTCCTCCCCAACCTCGACGAGCCAGTCAACAAGAATGGCCCTCATGCTGCTGGTGATATCGGGCTGCTTTTTCATGTAGCCTGCTTTCGGTCTCAATTTCAGCTACGGGAAGGAAAATACACCATTTCAGACTCAATCTAAGGTAAATCCTGTACAGTTTCACAAACTGCAGATCCACGTTCCTCACCTCCATCTCTCTTAAGTACGTGTGGATCTCAGAAGAATAAGCTGTTGCCTGGCTCACATTTAACAGCTTCTCCTCAGCGTCGACTATCGACATATCCATGGGGGAGTCTGGGGGAGGGAATCAGCAGCAACACTCAAACTCAAGTCATTCAGGAGTATGAACAAACACATTGACCATCTACAGAAAACCCATACCAAAAATTTGCCAACACACACCAACTCACCGAAACTGACTTCCATGGGTATGTCAATAGCCGCAAGGGGCTGTCGGAGGGCAGTAACTGCTGGGTGCAGGGGCAGAAGGGCATTTTCCGGTGCCTTAGTTTTAACTGGCTCCTGCTTCTTTGGGACCTCTGGTTCATCCAGGTGGATCTGGAACGGGGGCTGTTTGCTCCCCACAGCACCTTTACAATCATCTTCGTTTTTGGACACTTTGGAGGCTGCGACCTACAATTTCACAGCTGCCGTCAGTTGCAACTTGAACAACGGCCACTACACTGGGAACTAATCGTTACGCTGTATTACATGAAAATGCAATCCTAATATGAAGCAGACACGAGTAATCAGGTCTGTAAGCGAAATACAACGAAAAGCGAAGTTGAATTTGGTCTGAGTCCCCACCCCATCCTCCACTGGATGGAGTCACTTAAAATGGCGGATAACAAGTAATGTTGTGATATTTCAAAAGTCGCCAACGAAATGGTTGTATTTCGCATGGAGCAACAAACCATGTCTGCCATCATTATAGATATACAAAATGAAGTCTAGGAAAATCGGGCTTCTCGCATACTGGTATGCCCAAGTCGTACCGCCAATACTGCCTTCCAAAGCATGGGTTCATGACTAGTTAACATCTAATGCAAGTTAAACTGGGCGGCCCGTACCCACCTTGGCTGCGCGCTGCGATGGCGGCCGGCGTCGTTGGTTGTTCTGCGCCAGCGCCCCTAGCACTGTCCGGGTGGTCGGTCTGGCGCACGCATCCTCCCGGTTCTCCTTGCCAGCAAGCCGCAATCCGGGCGGCAAATTCTCTTGGTTCCGTCGCTCAGTCACAGCGTCCGTTCCTCCAGGACTTATAGTCGCCATTTGTTCTCGCTTTCTCACTTAGGTTTTCGTGGACGGGGGGATACTAGGCTATTTAACGTGATCAGAAAGTAAAAAAAGAAAAACAAAACACGCCGCCGATCGATTAAAAACGAAACGGATTACCGAGGACCGGGGACCGAACGTTGCTTAGGGGCATGGGCTGTTACTGCAGATATGGAGCAAATATACCATTAATACTCCGCGATGCACGCAGACCCAAACGAGGCAGATAATGGATAAAATAAAGAATGCACCTTTAAATACATATCTAACTAGAGCTGATTTACGTCCCCCATGTCGGGTCCCTCCAGCCTGAAATCCAAGTCAAAACCTCACAGCCTTTCCACTCACTTGAAAGTTGCAACTTTCCTAGTTCAAGTAGCCCGCGACTATTAAAACCATCCAATCAGGGCTGGAGCGTTCTTTGACGTCACTGAAGTACGGCGGCCGAAAGGCCCAAAATTGCTTTGGGGGCTTCACGCACCGTAAACCGTTGAAAATTAAATGTATGGCCTTTGTGCCGCTTCGGGCGGGATTTAAAAAAGGTTTGGTAATGAGTTCAGTGGTTTCCAAAATAACATGAAAGTTTAAAACAGCAACAGTCTTAGGTGTTCTGAAATACCAACTTTCAGCCTCCCATAAAATTCTTAAATATCTGCTTCATGAGTTCACGGTACACAGTAAGTCTATATATAAGACCGAAAGCGTAAATCCTAACTACTTATAATACTAATACTGTAGTGGTAGTTTAAACAGGAATAATTTATTAGAGTACAGTAAAATGTATTAATTGGTAGTTATATTTAAAATATAATTCAATTGCTTGAAATCGTTTAGTGATGCAAAATGTGCTTGATCTTAAAAAAGAAACAAAACATAACTGCTTCAGGAATTTATTTAAAATATACAGCAAAATATTTGTATATATAAATCTAAGGTAAAATGTAAACTTTGTAGCCTCCAAAACACTATTATACAGTTTCATAACAAGTATTTTTATTAGAATGTTAGTAGGTTGGAATGCATGGAGTTTGTACCCTATTGTTTTCTACTGACCTACAAACAATATCCAACTATGTTTAGAAAAACAACGCTTTGAACAAAAACTCTTCAATAAGATGTTTACACTTAAGTCTGAAATCAGCTAGCAATGCCCCTGGCCACACAGAGCATAGGCATGTTCACAGCTGTTTGCATTGCTTTAAAGGGGAACTTAAACTTCATTAAAAAAATCCATTAAAGAATTCAGATCATAATTATCCAGAATTTCAAGCAGCTGTGAAACTTTGGTCTTCACATTCTGTCCCTTGAATTTGAATTTGTCAATGAAGAGATCTGTTATCATACCTGAAACAAAAAATAAAGTGGAAACTTACTATGAGACAAACTGTTTTCTCTGATGTTATACAAATTCTCAATGTGATTTGTAAATATACTGAACAGAAAATTTAATAATATATTTAGTTATGTGGTTATTTCAGGAGCCATACCATACAGCCTTTCCAGATGGGCTGGCTGTCTCTGGTACTCCCCCAGGAGTTGAGCTGATTCTTCTAGAATGTTTCGATATTCGGGAATTAAGAATTCTGCATTCCCTTCATGAACTTGCAGTTCCTGCACCCAGTAAACATGATCAATAGGATCCAGGCAAGACGGTTCCTGACAAGTTTGTGTACCGAATAAATTATGTGCAACTGTCATCAGGGAAAGTGTTATTAGACAACATCACTGACTACATTAATTCCTTTATGACTCACTTTTAATGCATCAATAAGCTGAACCTTTTTGGCCAAAAGTAGCTGGTATTCAAGCTTGGGATGAATCATCTTGAGTGTGTGATTCACAGAATCTTCATTGATATCTATATACGAGATAAAACAATAATGATAAGCAGCATTTACTCAATGTGCTTTAAGTCAGCCGGCGGTTTATCTGTGGATGAAAACTCACTGTAGGAGATGCCGAGGTTTATTTTCCTTTTGGTTGCCTCCTTGGTTAGAACATCCTTCAGGATTGAAATTGTAGAAATGTTGTCGGATTTAAAGTGACCTTCACCTTTGCTAGAAAATGAGAAGGAAAAGAACGAGAAGACCAATCACCCAACTTCTAACCAAATACCCTGGTAAGGGACTGAAAGACCTGGAGCTAATCCCAGGTACAGGTTACAACACTGGGCATCAGGCGACATGGGATGCAAGTCCATCACAGGGCACATACACACCCACATTCAAGCACACAATCACACTCTCTGTTTGTGTTTATACATAAATCAGACTTCATATGAATCTCTCCCAAAGTAATGATGGAAATATGAGACGCCACACTTTAAGTTTCCGTTTTACCTGTATGTGGTTTCAAGCTGCGTGCCAAGGAAAGTGTTCTGAAAGTAGAAGGTCGTGCTTTCCCCAGCCGGGGTCTTCTCAGGCACCTCCGGCAGGCAGAAAACAACCCACGAATGAATCTCTGCGAAGCTGAACTGGCCAATCAGGCTCAAGGTATTCATCGGCCTGAGAGGAAGGCGGCGAATGGAAGAGAGAGAGCACTCGTATCAGGGACTGCCTGGACCTCGGATGTGCGTGAGGCAATGCGGGTGGCCCATCCACCCCCAGGGGGATCCCTTACCGGGAGACGATGACACTCACCTGGTCTGGTCTATGGAGTGCGTTCTCTGGTGGAGGGACAGAGGTTTAATCTGGTACTGGCGTACTTGACAGGTCTTGGGCTGTAGGCGGGGAGTGACATAGGCTTGCAGAGTCCCATACTGACCTTCGATGGAACGAACCTAAAGGGAATTTAAACTGTTTTAATGTCTTTCTGTGAGGCCATTCATTTGCAAAACGTATAATCTGGGAATATCTATAATAGTTCAGAAAATGGTAATAATATAATAATAATAAAATAGTGACACAGCACATCATGCAGAGTAGATGTCAGAAGGTGGAAATGCTCCTATTAGGGAGGACCGTGAAGTGTGTAAAACGTCCATGACGCTGTTCAAACAGGCGACACACCTTAAGCTGAAGCCTAGTGGTGTTTGCTTGGCATCTGTAGGTAGCAAGAAGAAAATTGCCGTTTGGTTGCTTGAAAAAAAGAAAACAGGCACAATGAAGCAGCTTGAAATGGTCTGTTTTCTTTGGAGGCGGAAGACGATATTCGTGGGTCAAGGATCTTTAATTGAACGGTAACGGAGGACAGCCTCTCACCTCTGAATCGCATTCGCTGAAACTCACAACAGCTGAATTTTTGTCTACATCCAATAAATCTATCGGGACGTCACTCTGGAAAAGGAGAATGAAAAGAAATACCTCACTGCTGTATCTACATCACTGTTTCCCAGTTTGGTCCTCAGGGACCCGCAGCAGTCCACGTTTTTGCTCCCACCGAGCTCCCAAATGTGGACTGTCTGGGAGGGAGCAAAAATGTGGACTGTCTGGGAGGGAGCAAAAATGTGGACTGTCTGGCAGGGAGCTGGGATGGTCCTTGTCTGTGAACCGAATTGTAATTCACATAACCTACATAACCAGGATATCCAACACTCAGGGTGTGTCACGCATTAAAATCAACTGGGATGATACAAGATGAGTTTGAAACATCATAATACACCGCAGTCAGAAATGAATGTGATACAGAAGATCAGAGAGGTTTAGATGGAAGGAGATTCTATATAATGTGCATAGGATCTTCACTCCCAAAAGCAGCTGAGAAGTTAGCTTTAGGTGAGACCCCGAAACTGGAGAACCAGGCCTAAAAAGTGAAAAAAAAACGTAAAACTATAAAAGGTGACTTTTACAAGCGTGTCTGGTGGGCGCCCCCTACAGATCCTCACCTGCAGCAGCAGGTTGTCGATGGCTGTCTGCACCTCTAGGGTGAGGCTGTAACTGGCATCCTCCTGGCACAGCGCGAATTTGTCATTGATGCTGAAGACGGGTACGGCAGACACGGCCGTGCTGCACTGTGAGCTCTGCTGGTACTTCTCTCTCTCCTGGAGTACCTTCAGCTGTAGCTGCTCCAGCTCTGCCCTAGAGGATCGGAGGTGTTACTGCGGGTCAGGGATATACCTCATTCATTCATTTTCCATACCCACTTGCAGGGTTGCGGGGGTCTGGACATTAGGGGGGTAAGACAGGGAATAACCCAGGATGGGACACACTTTGTTTATTTTCCCACATGTGCCACACGACAGATATGAATTCATAACCTCATTACAAAATTTAAGTATTTCCATTTACCCAAAGTTACACTCCTCACAGTACCTGAGCGCTGCAATCTTGCCCTGCGTTTCCTGACTCATCCTTATCTCCTCCCCTGGACCAGCCTCATCCCGCTGGGGTTCGGAGGTCAGCCCCGTCACCCAGCCTGCACGAGGAAAAGCGCATTGACAGCTGCCCTCATCAACTCCCCTTGGCGAGGCCCTAGCAGGGCAGGCTTACCTGTGTATGTGGATGTTATAACCTCGTCAAACGATTCTTTCCCCACAGAACCCCCCTGGATGGACGTGACACTCTCTGATAGCACCTTAGAAAGCAGGAGAAGTATGTATACATTTATAAAGAGTAATCGAATCACTGCACTGACTCTTCAGGTAGATTCATCGTCAGTATAATAGCCAATGTTCATAGAATCAGAATCAGAATCGAGTTTATTGCCAAGTACGTTCACACATACAAGGAATTTGCTTTGGTGGTTGGTGCCAGACTTCGAGAGATGAGGTGGTTAATATATAAATATATATACACAGGTTCAGGTACTAATATAAATATAAATAGATAGTGTATGTGGAATATGATACAGCAGTGGAAATATATACATATATAAGAGAGTGCAAATTAAAATTACTCACTCAAAAAATTACTCACTCAAAAAATTACTCACATGCTCAAAACGCAGTGTTGGTTCCCCAGAGGTGTCCAGCCCATACACCTCCACTGTCCCATCATCCCTGCCGACGAGGATCTCTCTCACGCCGTCACCCAGAATGTCGAACGAATCAAGGCAAAGAATGCCTTACAGGTACAGAGGGAGGAAATGAAACAGGGTGTGGTTTCAAAATGAAAGCCAAATCCATCCATCCATCGACCCATCCATACATACACACATACTCCAAGTACGTATTTAGCACAGGGTCATACACTGGCACCTCTGTAGTTTGTAAAATGTTCACAAAATAATTTTGGAAACTGGTCATAAAAAAGTAAGTAAATTCGTAGGTTCTCTGTGGAGAAACCTGGTGTTTCTTGAAGGGGATCAGAGCCATGGAGCACATGAACTTTGGAAAGAGAAAATAAATGATTTGCTCTTTAACTTAAATGAGAAAATAATAAAACCAAAAGACCTGGGCCACTGGTTCCAGTCTCTGTCCCTCAAACAAACAGAATGAACTTACTGTGAAGAGCAGTGTTTCCCAATCCAGTCCTTGGGGAGGGTCCCAGACAATCCACATTTTTGCTCCCTGTCAGACAGTCCACGTTTTTGCTCCCTGTCAGACAGTCCACGTTTTTGCTCCCTGTCAGACAGTCCACGTTTTTGTTTCCTATCAGGAGCTGTCTGAGGGTCCCCGAGAACCAGGTTGGGAAACACTGATATAGTGAAATCAACTGATAACACGTGAGTAGAAGAGTTTGTCCCCCGAGTTGGTCCCTCCCCAATCAGCCACACCCACTCGCATTTCACGCACTCATACCTCCTTTCTTCTTGTCATTAGGTACTTCCCATCTGTGAACGGGGGAGGATGCCATAATTTTAACGAGCCCCAGTTTTCCATCTGTCGTCCCATAGAGAATTTCCCCTTCAGTTCCTAAAGGAAGTACAGCTCAGTGTTCAGTCTGAACGCATGATGCTGCTGTCAGCACAGTAACATGCAAAAAAAACCGCTCGCTTAAGTTGGAAATACAAAAATGAACTATTCATTTCATCACCCATCACTTGCACTTGTTCACACCCATGTCAACAGCAAATTAAATAAAACAGCTTTGGACGTAACCAACTGTGCATTAGTAAGGAAAATAACTGATTTCTAATGAACTGTAATTCAAACATACCTCCATCTCTGTCTTTTAATTCCAAAACAGAAGGTGGTCCAGGTACTTTAATTTCATAACAAAGTTCAGATCCCTACAAAAACATAAATATATATGTTGAAAATAGACCAGAAGGGATGACAACAATTGCTCCAAACTCTACACTATAAATCATAAACAGACTCACTCAGAATTGATGCATGTTTCCAGGAACTCAGAGGTAAAAGCGAATCATTTACTCTGATCACCCACAAGACCTAACAATGGCCTAATATCATTACTGTCATAAAGTGTATCCAGCCATATGATGAATACACAGAGTTCTGGTGAACAAAGCTGACCTGCAGAATCCTGAGGACCCGGTCCTGGCAGGCAAGAACAGGAACGATGCGGCCCAGGTTCTCAGCTGGCAGACACACGATGTCATTGATTTTGTCCCCGGAAAGGTAGTAATCCTGGTCCTTGCAGTCACAGTAATGGTTATAGATATAACTTGCACAGACGAATAGGTCTGCCCCAGCAACATGCCTGTTCAGAATATGCCCAGGTTAATGTTTGGGTCATTGGACTGCACTCAGGCCTGGTTGTTTTATTAAATCCATGCATAAGCAGTTCTGATCGGCATGAATAAGAGACATTCCCTACATGGCATTGATGCTCTCGGCAAGGTTGGCCTCGAAGGAGAGGAACTGTTTGCCTTTTTTGGTGTAACCTCTGACCTCGGAACCAGCTGCAACAAAAATCTTCTCCTGGGCAGTCCCAAGTGCCCCCCCAAGCTCCAGTCGTGAGACCCTCTGTCCCGGGAGGGTCTTGAAAACTGGCTGGAGAATTTACACCCCAACACACACAACAGGTAGAGTAAATACAGAACCTCAAGAGGAACTCCCCTTTTCACAGATCGCATACAGCATAGAGAGAACACTTACAATAGCTTCTCCCTTCTTCATGCCAAAACAAGTTATGACGCCATCGTGATCCGCAACAGCCACCTGCAAAAGCAAAATAACAAAACACCTGTAGCACGTGATCAGCACTAGACGGTAACAACTACGTCTAATCAAATGCGTCATGAATCACTTTTAAAATCACAAATATGATTTGACACATCTGTGTCTTTTATCTAGGTTTATCAGAAAGTTACATCAAATTTGTTCCCTTTAAGATGACATGCAAATTAGGTGATATGAGAACAACGAGCATTAATTTAGCGACCAAAGCTGCAGAAACAGAGAGATAATACAGACTCCAGTTATTCTTAATTATGCATAAATATACAGAGGAAATTCAAGACAGACACAATGCAGCCAATATTTGGGGGATTACATTACATAGCCAAAATAAGAGTTCCACAGTTTTTAAATGCATTAACGTTTTTATTGGTTCTCACATAGCTGCAGAGTTATAGGAGAATGTCACATTAGTCCGTAAGGCTCAGAGCTACCTTCTGAGTCGCCTTTCGTCCCGCTGTAGGAAGGAGTTTCATTGTTTTCTGGGAGGTGACTCCAACCTGTTGTTAAAGAGGGGAAAAACCCACCCATCAGCCTAAAGTGTAAACGCAGTGACCTCACGCCGATCCTTTCACTGCGCAGTGAGTGACAATGTCACAGTGACCAGAAATGTCCGCTAAGACGTGACAGACAGCAGGTTTGAGAGAAACATAGGTAGAAAATAACTTGCCGCATCTTATCATAAACAATAAAGGCATTGTGAGGGTACAAGCAATGAAGTTCGGTGTTTTACTGTAAAATGGAACCGTTATCTTACCTAGATATCTACTCTACTTATAGTTATTAGTATCTTGTGGAAATTGCCGACTTTACTTTCACTTTTCGAAAATGTATTTTAATACTAGATTATTGTTGTTTGGATTGTTAAATTGTATACTATTAGTATAAGAGGCTATTAACTCTAGTCTACCTTCTGGATCATCTTACCTGCAGATAGTCAACGCGGTTCAGATTCAGCTCCATTTTCTTTGGGAAAAACCGACGCTTCGCTGAAAATGTCTATAACTAAGGGGTTGATCTGGTTAGTTAAATGATTAAGACCTATTTCATATGGATTTTGCACAAGGGCGCACCATCACGTTTGTTGAACCAAATGAGTGGATTAAGTCAACGGATTAACGTAGCCAGCGACCCACTGAAATCTATATAAAACGATACAATGCATATTACAAATATATGAATCACTCGGTGCATCGCATGTCTCAAACGCAGACGTCACTGACAAACGCATTAAACTGTTATTAAAAACAGTCAGAAGGCATAACAACCCCCATTTGGTACAACGTTAGCAACAGCAGCAGAAACTCGTTTCCATGGAGAGATGGCAGGCAACAAAATTTAACCTGATTGGACTGAGAAAGAGCACTGTGTGTCAGCAACGTCGATTTTCATTGGCTGAGGTTTAGTCGCTGTTTGTAGCTGAGGTTTGTTCTGTTTATGATTTACGACTTGTATTTATTCAGGAAGCGCTTTGTTTCTTTTTTCTTTCCAGAAGGACCGTTATATGTATTTAATTCGAATGTCTGTACGAACATGTATCACTCTGCGTGCATACATAAGGGTGTGTCTCGGTAAAATAATTTCTGTCCCTCAACAACAAGGCACCTTGATGAATAGTACAAAGTGCAACAAAATTCACAGTTAACCAAATCACTGAAATCAATGACAATTTACCTAATTTTGGCAATACCAGGTTTCGGAAGTGTGTTAAAACACTTTTGTATGTCTGCTGTTCGAGAGGCACAGCTATTGGAACTTTTTTAAATACCAAATTTTACTGAGGCCCAATTCTTCATAGCCTCAGCGGTTTCAGAATATACTTCTCACTCTGAGTTTTTGTTCTCTTCTGAAGAGGAATGAAAGGGGATGCTTCGTAAAAAATACTCCATTATTATGTCTACAGACCTGTAAGATGTATTAACTTGAATGCGCCAGAAGAGTGCGCCAAAATCCACCCACATCGCGTGTGATAAAAGCTCTATTATTTTTGTATTTGCCACACTGACCTGATTTATAATAATAATGATGATGATGATAATAATAATAATAATAATAATAATTATTATTATTATTGGTTGCATATAAAGAAAACCTGTCCAAATCGTTAAACTTGCAGAAGTGGGCGTGTCTCTCACCGCCCAGACTAATAGCCTGCACCAATCTTCATGCTGAGACGAACCAATGGACGAGGGAAAAAATATCCAGCTTTTTCCGCTCTTGCTTTGATATTGCTATCGCCAGGGGGCGCGTTTTGTGTTGTCGCGCCATTAATCCAGGCCGTAAGTGGCACAAGAAATTAGTTTATATAAAATATTAGATCATAACACATTTTAGAAGAATGTACCATAGGCTTACATTTAATGTTAACATATAAGCTTGCTTGTGGCCGTGATTGACAAAAAGGGGTGTAGTGACGCTGTTTGAAATCGTTTTAGTATCAACTGAAAATGTAGGCTATATAGCCAAGTAATGTAAAATCCAATTATTCCTTTGCAAAACCCAATTAGGCATTAAAAAAGGTTAACGGCAGCGCCGGGGATGGCTTTGTTTAATAATCCTATTACTGACGGCTCATCATGTATAAAATGGTGCAGAAGGAAACTAAGTTTCCACTTGTTAAATGTGAATCTCTGAGAAATAGTCGAGCTATCCCACCCCTAGCGCGTGGACGTAATATAACACTCCCTATGTTCATCTTGCTGTAAGTATTTATTGTTATAATAATTTCAATCGAATGTCTGTTGTTTCTTATTCTGATTTACATTCGGCTGTGCAAAAATGGGCATTCGATAGTGTATTTCTTTTCCCCAAACCGGTACAGTCCAAACGAAGCGCTTGGGTTTTTTTTTTTTGCGGGAATCACCTTAGAGACAGTTACGGTCCGCTGTTATTGGCTTTGGGCTTCAGGGACAGACGCGCTCGTTCTCAGTACCTCCCGAATGAACCACAGCGTCGGCTTTCTGAGCTGTTGCTCAACTTTTGTTACGTGGACTATTTTTCGTTAAAATATGAATGCGTATTGTCGAATTAAGCTGATATACATATCCAGATAGGTTTAAATGCAGTACATTAGATAAATGTTTTTGGGGGACTTGGAATTTTGTCATAGGGCAAAAGGCTTTTTTTCCCTGTTACATCACGTTGTCAGGCTGTGGTGAAGTCAGAGAATAAAAAGATTGTTTCCAAAATGTTTCAAGCTTGTAAATATAGCCTACAGTTAAATTTTCTATACACTCAGTCTTTGACAAGGATCTCGGTCGGAAGATGTATTATATGTTTATATATATATGTTTATATATATATATATATATATATATAAACACATAATAAACACACACACACACACGGTATATATATGTATACTTAGATGGGAAGCCGTCCCATCTTGGGTTATACCTGCCTTGCGCTCGTAGCTTCCGGGATCCTGCATAAAACAAGTTGGTATGGAAAATGGATCGATGGATGGATGGATGGATGGATGGGTGGGTGGATGGAGGTACATATATGTAAAATATTCGATCACTTGAATTTATTCATTATATTTCATAATGCTTCATTAGGCCTTCAGTCAGAAACTGGTTACATTTTAGCTGTTTCAATACAATGTTGACTGCTCCAATGGTTTTATTAATATTAGCTGATTCCCATTAAATAACAAAGCTTATTTTAGCCAGGCAATACTAAAAACCAAAATCACACTGTTATCAAAATGAATCTCGGAGATTATTGTGTTTTATTTTGCACTGTCCGATTATTAAATCATATACATTTTTATATATGCTACATATTTTCGCTATTTTAGTTTTACGGTTGATAATAATTCTTAATTAATATTATCGCCCAGCGTAAGTATTTTCTAATCGCAGAAAATGGCTATTAAACTACCAGGCAAACGACTGCTTTGTGCTGTATTATCTCTACATTTTCTACCCCTTAGCCGAGAATGCGGGCAAAAATACCGAAGTAAAACTGATAAATCACGTCAAAGACTGATTAAGGATCGAATTCCGTTTGAATGCAGTCTGAAAACTAGTGTTGTGTTCTTTTTGTATCGGAATAAAAAATAGAAGTGTAACAAGTGAGATAAAGGGCGATCAAACGGCCGAACATGAGCGGCAACTGGAAGACAGATACTATGGTTATTTATGAGAATGCATGGGTACAAATAACAGGACAACAATCTTCGGTATAATTACCGTATTTTTCTCTGAGTTAAATACATGATTTATAAATTGTATGTACATAATTTATAAATATACAAGAACGAATTTGTATTTCTGTTTTACTGATAACCTTTTTAAAGCATTGAAAAAAGAACATTATTTAATAAGAAGAAAACACTTGTAATTATTATTATAATTATTATTATTATTTTAAATGTAATGTGTTTCAGATTTATTTTTAATTTTATTACGGTTGATTCAGTCGTGTAGGATCAATCATCAAAAAAGTGACGGTCAAGGGTCCATCAGTTTGTGAAAAATTATTTTCTATTGAAAGTCATTCATAATTAGGACATTTTGGGTGCCAATATATTATTGGTGAAATAGCGGCATAATGAATAAATAATGGAAGCCAGATAAGCGAGCAAAATTTCGCTTTATTTGTTTTCCTCCGTCGTCACACGCAAGTGGTCGCATCTCCTAAATGAACGCAATTAACGGAACAAAATTTGGAAAAATAAACGAACTTTGAGGAGCGTAAACACTGCATGCGTGTTTGTGTAATAGGCTAATTGAAATGTGTGGGGTTTTCTTCTGACATCGGCCCGTAAACAGTATTTAATAGATTCGTCAGGATTTTGCGTTATTGTGCGATGACGGAAATTGATGTTAGTGTTAAAGACTTTTTTGGCGTCAGTGTGATCTCCGTGTGGGTCAGGCGTGTTGGTGACAGAATTTTAGTATGTGGTGCACAGTGTACCCCGTTTTGAAGAAGTCCGTGCACAGCCATCTCCGGCCTCATGTTCAAAATGTATATCCTCTCTAAAAGACCCAACTGTTGAACAGGGGGGTTCAAGAAAAATTGATACTGGCCTGCATTCGATTATTGCGTTTATTGCTTAAACGCTTTAATCTGTTGTTGATATTAAGTTTCCTGTTTTAGTCCTCAATCCACCTTTCATATAACTTAGGCCTATTCAGTACACGATGGCGGTGTTTATTTGTTTGCTTGTTTCTAACGGTTTGTTTATTAGTTATAAATGATCAATTAATCAAATTATGACTTATTGTTTAATCATTGGGCATTTAAACAATGCACACATTTTTTGTTTAAACAAACAAACATAGACTGAATAACATCTTAATAATCCTGCTTGCACGTGAAGATTCCTTAGGTTGGCCCAAGAAAATTTAAATGTCGAGATAACAGCCGATCTTATTGCTTGATCAAACACAATCAGGAAATTAATTAATCAAACTCAAGAGGACGCAGCCTGCAGATTAAGTACAAGTAATGGATGATACAATAATCTGCCGATATTATTTTCTGTCATGCAGAGTAACAAACTGAACATTTATTGAATATATATTAAAAATTATACGGCCACCGAACGGCCCTTCCGGACCGCCGCTTGGAGGTGACGCACAGGCGGCTTCATTTTGGGCTCGTTTTAGGCGCCAAATGTTTAATCCTGACTCATGAAATAATTCGAAGCATCATCTGCGAGAATGTTCCTTTTTGCCGGCCTTGGTTTTCTGAATCTTTCGAGTGGCCGGTTTGTGTTCTTATCTGCAGGAAAGAGCATCTTATTATTTTATGGATTACCTCATTTTCTGCTTCGGCAGAAAATCAACTTCATACACTGGTATGGTTGGTTTCATAAACATAACTATTATAGAGAGACAATGCATTTATTGTGGGCTGGTCGGGCTCCTAAAATAGACCGACAATCGGGCGGTCCTTGTGGAGAAGCGGAGCCTTTGTCTTCATATGCAGAGATGAATGGCCAATGTCACGCAGATGATTAGTTTGCACTATTAAATTGTCAAAAGGGAAGGATTTCCCTAATAATGCGTTTCTATGAAGAATTATGGAATTTGGGGCTGCTGGAAACAAATCGAGAACTAACAAGGGTTAGGACGGGTTAGGCGATTAGCAAGCCGCTGAGAAACTGACAGAGGTCAAACGGAGTTCTCCAAAATGCTAAGCGCACGCGGAATGAAGATAACGCGGGATAATCTGGAGCGGAAGCGTTCGGTTTCATTACGTCTGGCGAGATTGATGGTCAAAATCAAGGAGCGAGTAACACGCGCTCGATTTAACCTTTAGGTGTAAAATCAGTGTCCTTTTGCTCAGAAAAATCAACTGTATGCGTC